CACCACCACCACCACCACCATATTCAGAAATTTTATTTTAGCTGTTCTTTCTGACATAGTGTCCTGTGACTTTTGACTCACTCTTAACAGGCTTTAGCCATAATATTTCTTCTTTTGTTCTCCACTTGTCCACATTTACGGGAAAAAAAAAACTGCTGTTATGTTCAGATACAAAGTATGGACAGAAAATGAGAGGTAAAGTAAGAAAAGTCCAAAGAATAACTTTGTAAGCCCTTCAGAAAGTCGAACTGCAATTTGAAGAAAGTTGATCTGCTCGGAATAAAAAATATAAAGGGGAAAAAAAGGGAAATGTCTAAATCTTTTGCCCTGTACTTAATGTATTCTGTGCTAATGACAGCTACTCACCAGAAACAAACAAAAGAATAATTTTCTACCTGACATTATCATATAAATACTGTTCTACTAATGAAAATAATGATAATAATGTGCTATGTTGTTTGCAGAATTTGGGAAGAGCCTGGAGGATGACATTTGTGGCGACACATCTGGAATGTTTAAAAGAGTTTTGGTCTCTTTACTCACGGTGAGCAAACATTAAAAGGAAAAACTCTTGTTTTTTATTTTTTTTTAACTTTACAAGCAGTAGAAAAACACGCTTTCACAAATTTAATACTGTATGTGACATTACTGACTTCAGCAGTCAGGAAAATAAAAATCAGTCACATTTACCTTTATTTTACAACAATATATGTATTATTTCATTAAACTGTAAAAGAGTCCTTCAGCTGAAAATATCACTTTACTATAAGTTTAGGCTTATTGAAAACTTGTTCTTAGAAAAAAACTTTGATTTGCCAGAACTTCCGGTGAATTCTTTGTTTTTCCATGAAAGAAAACTGGAATAAGTCACTGAACCGAAACCTTGAATTATTCATACTATTTTAATGTTTTTAATTTTATTTTTTCAATGGTTTTGTTTTTCTTTACTTAATTTAACGGTTGTGCTGTTTTTGGATTACAGGCTGGGCGAGATGAGAGCGACACCGTGAACGAGGCCCAGGCCGTTCAGGATGCGAAAGTAAGACGTTTTCATCGCGATGAGAAATAAACCCTTCAGAATGAAATGAAGTAGATGTGAAACCTAATTTGTTTTTGTAATTTTAGGAAATCTATGAGGCCGGAGAGGCTCGTTGGGGCACAGATGAAGTTAAATTCCTGACCGTTTTGTGTGTTAGGAACCAAAAACATCTGCTTCGAGGTAGTAAAAAAACCTGGAATGATCGTGCTGTGATTTGTGGTTTTTATAACCAAATTGGCTTCAGAAATATTAAAGCAGATTGTGGTGATTTCACTGACCCCTTGTGGTCATTTCTTTGCAAACACCCCCTCTCATTGAGTCACAAAATTTTAAATCTATAACACAACAGCTCACAATCGTTATACAATCCATTATCCATCATTCATTCGTCTCTTCCTTCAGTTTTTGAAGAGTATCAGAAGATTTCTGGGAAAGACATCGAGGAAAGCATCAAGCGAGAGATGTCCGGCTGCTTGGAAGACGTCTTCCTGGCTATAGGTCTGATTTATTCCTTCACATGTTCACAAAAAAATAAAATAAATCAATCAGGAAGCAGTGAGTTCCAGATTAATTTCATTTGATGCCTAAATGGAGGAAGTACAAAGACGATACGAACCTTATAAATCTGAGAATTGTTGGTGTTGACAAGGTGTTGTTCCACCATGTACAGATGAGCTGAATATAGGATATATTTCTGTATATAATTTCTCTCACTGTCCAACATGTTAAACTTTATTAATAAAGCACCTTTCTTGCAATAAAGTGTAAAGTAACCTAACATTTGCACCAGATAAAACAGAACAAACCAGAAAGAGAAGCAACAAAAACACTTGTAATGTCCTTTTTAAAGGGGCAGGTTATATGTAATTTCCAGGCACATGGTTCAGTCCTATACCACAAGTAACTATGGTACCTTCAGATATGAAAATGCTGTATACTGTATATCAAAAATAAATTTGACTTTGCATCATAGCCATGATGATGATAATTACCTTTTTATTTCAGGGTTCCCGCGGATCCTTAAAAAGTCTTAAAAGGCATTGAATTTGTCAATCCAAAAATATGGCCTTAATTAGTCTTAAAATGTCTTAAATCGATCTTTCAGAGGTCTTAAAATGGTAACACATTTTAAGTAGGATGATTGGTCTCATGATTGAATGGTCTCAAATATTAAAATAATTGTTAACATTTTTTATATATGTATAATTTACACATTTTTTTCTCATAGCTAGTTGTTCTGTGTTAAAATAAACATTTGGGTAAAATTGTCACAAACTGTTTTTTTTTCTTATTTTTATTTATTGTGAATTGGGTCTTAAATTTAAATTCAAGTGGCATTTAAGAGGTCTTAAAAAGTCTTAAATATAACTTGCTTTAAGCCGTAGGAACCCTGTATTTAACCAAGTTTATCCCATTGAGATCAAAAGATCTATTTTAAAAGAGATACCTGACCACGGCTGGCAGTTTACAGAAAGAGACTCAGTTACAACACATAGTCACAATAAACATGACCTTACAACAAAACAAATGACTCAATTAAAAACAATTGCACTTTTACAACTTGAATTTAATGGGATCAATCATGGTCTTAAATACATTCAGAGATACCAGTGTTCTAAGTTCTGACTGCAAACTATTCCAAGAGGTTGGAGCAGAAAAGCTGAAAGTGTTGTTCCCTCTTTCTGTCCTGACACAAGGAACACTAAAATGTGAGACCGGAGGTCTGTAGGTCCTGTTCTTTAAAGTTAGCAAAGATGAAAGATGAGATGCTGCCAACTTGAGAATAGCCTTGTAAATCAAAACATACCAACGGCCAAGCTGGCAGACCTGCAGAGATGGTTCTTTAAGAAACTCCTTCTGTTTCAGACACTCCCACTTCAGCATGCCGTCAGAACAAGGCTTTATGTTAACTTTTTGGAGGAGAAAGTTCAACCATTTTTGACGAACCGTGTCATTATTAGGAACTGAAAAAAGAGATTAGTCTCCTTGGCATCCAAAAATACATTTCGTTGATGAAGTCATTTTTAAAATCTGAAATGGATGGGGCGGGGACTGGGCTTTGAGGAGGAGCTTTGGGTATATAGGTGGTGCTTTGTTCCAGCAAGTGTTTAGGCAGCTTTACATAGCTACCACAAGAGATAAAAGAATTTCTCAAACATGCATGAATAAATCAAAGCGGCATCCCCATTTTTGACTTGTTAAAAATGAAACTGAAGATAACTGATTTGAATTAATTTCTTTATTTAAAGTACAAGAAAAAAAGTGGTGTAACAAGATTGTATTTCTTTGTCTTTGCAGTGAAATGCATCCGGAACAAGCCAGCGTTTTTTGCTGAGCGCTTATACAAATCAATGAAGGTAAGAGTATTTTTACCATCTCAGTTTTAAAATGCAAAACACAGGAGCATAAAGTTGTTGTGTGTTTCTACAGCCATCATGGTTTAAATCAGAAAAACAACTCGGGCAGTTTTGTTTCTTTCCCTTCAGGGGCTGGGCACCACGGACAGCGTCCTCATCAGAATAATGGTCGCCAGGGCTGAAATCGACATGCTGGACATTAAGGCTCAGTTCCTGAAGATGTATGGAAAGACTCTGCACTCCTTCATCAAGGTGAGGGGTGGACACGAGCTGCACTCAGCTAAAACTGCATCTGCTGGGATCTAATAACCATAGTAGCATTTCTTGTTTTATGTGATGTTTCACCTTTTGATGTGAAAGTTATGTCTCTCCCATGCAAGCTTAAAAAAAAGAGAAAAATTAAACCATTTTGGGTTCTTTGAAGTCTCACAGAACTTTCTTTCTTTTCAGGGAGACACATCTGGTGATTACCGCAAGATCCTGCTGGTGCTCTGTGGAGGCGAATAGAAAAGAAAAAATCAAAACAAACATTCAGTCATCTCTGGGTTAATTGACCCACATCATGTTTTAGTTGATTCCTCTGTGCCGTTCTTGTTTTATTAATGAACACAGTGCCTTGTTTTACAGTTTGTAATACCAATTAAACCAAAGACCAGTGATCTTTTACACGTCTGCCTTTTTGTCATTCACCTTATCTTAATTAATGACATTAAAGCCCACAGGTTTCTCTCACATCTTAAAACAGACAAAAGATAAATGGAGACGACCTCCGTCCTTCACTCTCTATGCAGGGCAATACTTTAATCACTGCTGAAATCCATTTGCCTAATTGGTCATTTGTTGAGTCAGCCTCGTATCTTTTGACTCAATTACATTAAGTTTTCTAGCTTGACTTGTGAGGCAGTAAAATGTGTTCTAATCAGGGGGAAAGAGGACAGCTTGTAGAATAAAATTACTCCATCTCATGCATGAAGTACTCAAGTTGACCACTAGGTGGAGCCAACACAACTTTTTATCTTTGAGGGTGTTCTCCGCAGTGAAAGACAAGTTACTGGTTTGTTTTGTACTGAACTGTCTTTAACTGGTACACTGTGTTTATGCCAAGCTAGAATAACATGACTCAGGTTAAAAAATATGTTTTTGTGGTAATCTGTTCCGTTTCTACCCCCTGAAGAGCTTTTTTTTTCCAGTGACTCAATATAGAAACAGTGCAGAAAAAACATCCAGCTCATCACTGTTTTGAAAGGGGGGAAAAAATGACAGTTAAAAAGACCTCATAAGATCAGTTGTTCATAACATTACACTTTTGAGCAACAGCCTCCATTCATGTCTTTCACTCAGGGGGGCTCCCACCCTCTGGGACCATCTGCTAAAATCCTCATTAAGTCGATTCTGATATGATGAGAATCCCTGAAAGGCCGGCTGATTATCTCAGTCACCGTAAAAGATCTGTGTAATTGTCACGCTGTGCTAATATTTTAAATCATGAGATTTATTTTTTTCACAGAAGCTTGTTTTTGTGTTTATTAGTAAAAAAATAAATAAAAATGCAGGCAAACTATTTTGTAATAAACTACAGACTGGAAAGCACAATAGAAAGGGCTATAAAATGTTTCAGCCACACAATTGCTGTGATTTATAGTACAAAATAACCTGATGTTTTATTCAACTTGATAGTTTAGATGTGAGTTCTGTGAAAAGATTATGAACAGTTGGTATCTTACCTGTTGTAGATATGGTTTTTGAGTAGCTTAAGCTTGGAGAAGTAGTTTAATTCTGACAGGAATGATGAGCAAAAGGCTAGTCCTAGAAGTGTCAACATCATGACTGCTCTCCTAAAGCATGCCAACAGTTTCATAGCATTTTATATTAATTTTACTCCACTGTCAGCTGCACATGACACTTATCTCTATGGAGTCATGATAATCCTGTCAGAAGTGCTAAAGCTAGCTGCTGCTGCCACTATTTGCATTTATAAATATCCACAAAAAAGTCTAAATAACAGACTTTTGACACCGCTAGTTGTTAGCATGCTAATCTGGCCAGAATTAATCAATTTTTCCAAACTTCATAGGTTAATAGAGCTATCCACAACAGTTAAGATATGAACTAAATAGAACCATTTAACAGAGCCTATAACCTCAAAGGATCTATGTTATGGCTTTAGTTTTAGATAATTTGCACAAACAAAAAAGAGAAAAAAATAACCTTAAAACATTTGATGTTAAATCTGATATATGGTTGAGAAAAGCCAAAAGTTGAAGTTTGTAAATATTCCATGTAAAATGTGAATAATATTAACAAAAATGAGGTTAAAAACACAAAGTGCACAAGCTCTGGCGTCTGTTTAATGAAAGAAAAAGCAAAGATTTTGGTTTACAGTCTGAGGGGTGCATTCATACCACAGCTTCAAGCAAAAAGCTGTAAAAGTTTGATTTTTTTTGTTGTTCTTTAAAAAAAATTAGAATATTTACAGACAAATTTCCTGGTTGACTACAGTACTCTGCTTGTTAAGCTCAGTTAAAAAAAGGAGCTGAACTACTTAATATTTTAAAAATAAGCAACACATTTCTAAAGTTTATGAAAAGTTAAGTTTTCCTGTTGACTCGTGTGTGTTTTGTAATTTGTTTTTCTGCTCATGAACATCAGGAATCAATCAGAGGCAATAGAGTCCAAACAAACAGCCTGATTTAAATCATATAAAAATAACTCCCCAAAGAACAATAATAGGTGCCGATCCAGAGAAAAATACCTTTTTTCCTTCAGTGATTCTCACTGCTGATGCAAAGAACAGGGAGTTGTTTGATACACATGTAGGTTTGAGGTTTCAGTTTCAAACTGATTGAAAATAAATTGTTTATGGAGAAAATCTAAAGCAAAAAGAAAACTCTGAGAAAGTGCATTGATTGGAACATTTTATAAATCAAGGACTGCAGACGGAGGCAGTTTGTTCATTTTAATTTTACAGCTTCATTAAAGTTCTTCTTGAATCTTTGAACACAATGTAGCTGTGACACTGAAATAAAGAATGTAATGTCCTGATGCAAAATACTCTTGAGTCTTGACAAGAAGGTGAGAAGAGACAGAAAGTCAGCATTACCAACGTATCAACATTACTCAGAGTTAGCTTTAATCCCGAAGGGCCTTGGAGCTAAAAGAAGGTTAAAAACACTCAAATATGAAGTAAAACTAATAAAATGACCCAAAATTAAAACTAAACATGCATGCAAATATCATATAAAATGTCACTTTACTTTCAGATTACCTTTCTTCTAAAGTTAAAAAATATAATTCTGAAACCCTGACATATTATTTCTGGACATAAAGATGAAACCTTTTTGATATTCTGCTTCAGTTTTCTGATTTTCCTCACAGCAGAGATTCAGTGAAGAAAATCGTTGGACTGAGCTGAAAGACGTCAGTGTTGATATTAAAGAAACATGCCTTTGGTTGCCATGAAAATGTCAGTCTTAAAACAGACGTTTTAATTGGATTTATGGGAGTTTTGCAGATCATGACACAGTGACTTTGGTCTGACTCTTCCTCCTGCCTCACAGTCAGGGTGACCTTTGTGTTTGTGTGAAATGCTAATTAGGTCCTGGTAATGTGAAAAAATAACATTTGCTGATACAAAAATGAAAAAAAAAAAAAGAACAAATTTGGTGTACTTCTGTAATTTAGCCTAACCCTGACCATTTACTAAACTAACTAAACTAACCTAAACCTTGGTCCTGAACCTAACCCCGTAATTTGCATTTGGACCTGTGGGGACCTGGCATTGGTCCCCACTTCGGTCCCCACATGGCTGCTTTTTCCCCACGTTGTAGGAAAAACACACACACACACACACACACACACACACACACACACACACACACACACTTTAGGATCAACTCCTCCAATGTTTTCTTCATAAAGAAAAGAACAGGTGAATGTGCAGAAATTGAAAGTAGTGACATTATAGACATAAAGAATGAAGGTGAATGGTATAAAGTTAAAAGTACGTAAAAAGCAGAGGCGGGAAAGGCACAGTTTGTTCCTGGCTGAAGAAAATCACAGACAGTAATTATGATGAATATACAGAGCAATAAGCAGACAGCTGACAAAGAGTTCAGCCTGAAGATTATTTTTGTGCTCTTAGTGCAGTCAACAGCAAAGTAAAAGGAAGCAGGTAGTGCAAGAAAAAAATCTCATTTTGCTTTTAAATTTAAAACACGATGACAAATATCTTAGAATTTCTGGCCTAATGGGGGGAAACTAAAATTTAACAATTCCATCAAGCTAAAACTACACAAAAAGATTCATTATGACATTTTAATGCTTCAGTGGAATGACTGTTTTTTCTTATGAATTGTTTGTATGTCTTTAAAATTGTATGGAGGATTGGAATTGTTTTGTTTTTGTTTGAGCTCTCAAATTAAATCCATAAAACAGCAGGTCATCTTTGTGCTCCAAATTAGTCACTTCCTACGGTGGCCCTGATGGGACAAATAAAACAAAGTCTCAAGATGCTTGATGATTCTCAGTGTAAGCTGGGTTACTCATCTGTAATTCTGGATGAATATGACTAAAATAACACCAGATGTGGAACTGAATCAAAGCAAACATTTGATACAATCTGTTAGCTTCTTTAGCTGGAAAACTTTCATTTATTTGATTTACTTTAAGAACTGGTTTGTCATAATTGTTATTTAGTTGAATCTGGATGTAACTGTGGTGAAATAAAGGATGTGAAAATAGACTGGAGCCTGAATCTGACTCTCAAACACAAAGAATTTGAGCTGATTGGTGACTCTGGACTGAGGAAGGAAATAAACCTTTAGGCAAATCCCTGCAGTCGTTCATCCCAGGCAAAGAGAAAAACAATGAAATATAAAAGTTAAGGAGCTCCACAGTCTGCAGTTTTGCAGTTTCTTCCTCATACATATTTATGTCCTCTCATTTTCAACCTGTGTGTCAGGATATTCAGAATTATTTTTGAAATCATTTGAATTTTTTTCTATCAGCTTACTTTTTTGCATGCTGAAGTCCAACTTTTTCCAAAACATGAACACACAGGTACAGATTTATTTCCCCCAAATGAGCTCAAATCTACCAGATAATAATGACTGTGTGCAGAACACAGAGCTTATAGCTTTAGCCTATAAGCATTATATTTTACTGGACAACATAATTATCTGGTAAAGCACAACTACACCATAAAAATAACTTGTAAGATTCACTTGAGAAAATCCTGCAAATGATTTGCACTAACGTTTGGTAAGTAAATTTAAATGCTACAAACTCATGTAAAATTTACTCTCGTCATTATCTAGTAAAAGTTATTAAGAATATAGTTAAAGATTTGTGAACAGATCAGGTAAATTTAACTTGATTTGCTCAGTTAAATCTTGTAACATGTACTTGATCAAATTAAGTAAAATTTACCTGATTTATTCACAAATCTTAACCTATATTCTTAATAACTTTTACTAGATAATGATGAGTAAATATTACATGAATTTGTAGCATTTAAAATTACTTAAAAGTAAGTGTAGATTGTTACGAGGATTTTTTCCAGTAAATCTTACAAGTTCTTTATAACAGTACATGTGCCAAGCACAATGTTGTAGCATGATATCTCATAGCTAAAGAGAGAGAGAGGTGTAGCTCTTGTTGTAGTTCAA